AGACAGATCACTTACAGCTGTACATTCAACTTAGGGTTCACAGAGCCCCCAGCCTGGTCCCCAAGCCCCTGAACCCTTGATGAACTCCCTAGTTGCCCTTCTGCATATTGAACAGTTTAAGCAAGGAAGCAGTTAGGAGACTTTTCTCTGGGAAACTGCTCTTAGAGTCACACAGTGCACAGGGCCCTGCCTTTATAAACCCCCAGCAGGCTCCTGGAAGAGTACACAGGGCCCCTTTAGGAAGTCACATTCCTGTACCCTCTGTTTCCTCTGCCTCCTAAGCTACTTCTTAACCCTGCAGATCACCCAGACCTTCCCCTGGGCTGAGGTACAAGGGCCTCCATGAAGGGCCCTCCAGCCCTATGAGATAGCAGGATGGATTTCCTTGCTAGCAATAAGTGTCTGGCATAATAGTCCATTTCAGGGTGGCCCAGGGAAGACTCCCAGCTCATCTGGAGTATGAGGAATGAAGCCTGCACATCTCCTGGCCAAGTGCCAGGTTAGGATAGCCGGCCCTTCAGAGAAGTTTCCTGTCATACATGGAAAGTCAGTCCCTCTGGTTCCAGTGGGCAGCAAGTGTAGAGAGTGTCCAGGAGCCAAAGGGGACCTCCTCTGCTGAGCCTCTTGCCATGGAGGCATCACTCTGTGCAGTTAAGGAAAGCTACTGGTCCCAAGCCCAGGACAGGCTGCCACAGGACTGTCTGTGTGCACTAATCCTGAGTAGCCTCTCTCCATACCCCTGGCCTAGCTTGGGGACCTGGGAGTAGGGAGGAAGGGGCTTAGGATGGGCCCTTCCCAACAAACTCCAGAGGAGCTATGAGTGAGGTAAAGAGAGGGAGGGATCACTGGGTCCAGAGAGCTTCTCACCGGTGGCCTCCACGGAAGGCCTGGAATGGTCTATTTGCCTGGGCCCAAGCCCAGGAAAAGCTCAGGGGAGGTTTCTTACCACTGTCTGGAAGAGTCTAGATAGAAATAGCTGCACCCATCTGGGAGATGAGTTACTGAGGGCCGTTTCAGCCATTTCTTGAAGAGATTCTATTTTAGGTGAGATGCCTATGATGCAGCCTGGATGATGGGAGCTGGGGAAAGGAAGGCATTAATGGTGCATTGAATTTTAGCACGTGCCTTTGTTTAGCCCTGTTCAGAATCCAGGGGAGGATCATCCTGGAAGTCTCCAGACTGAAAACTCTACCTCCCAGATCCCTCTTCAGGAAGTCTCCCAAGTTATACTGCAGCCCACAGGTACATGATAGAAATAGGATCTTGGAGGGCCAGGGATTTAGCTCAGTGATGCTGCTGCCTGCCTTGCAAGTGCAAGGTCCCGAGTTCGATCCCCAGTACCAAAAAAAAAGAAAGAAAGAAATACGATCTTGGATATGGGCTGGGCACCCACCACAGGAACTGAATTTGTAGTTGCCACCCTGGGCCAGAGGCTGGGCCTCCCTTCTGGGGACTAATCCCCTCCCAGGTCCCCCTCAAATGAACAGAGGGGCAACGATATAGCTCATGGCAGAGTGTGTGCTTAGCATGCATGAGGCATTGGCTTTGATTCCCAGCTCTCAAAAAACCACAAAAAAGTAAGCAGAAATGGTCTGCCCTTGGGAACGCCAGCCTTGATGAGAGTAAGCCCTCCTCACCTAGAATAAACTTACCAGGAAGTCTTTCAGTGGGGCCCCTGGGATTGAAGTATTTCTTCTGTGGCTTCCTCTGCCCAACACCCACAAAGCTGCACCTAGGTGGGTTAACATTTCCCAGTGGAGGCTGGATTCTCACCTCAATGCTTCAGTATCATCAGTGTTCAAGTTTCTAGAGCTCACCTTGGTCTTTGGGGTGCTCTGCCACTATTTGCAGGGGTGATTTCTAAACCCCTGGGTTGGCTTATGGGAAGCTGAGTGGCCTTCAGAAGAGGCAGGAATGCAGAAAGCACTGGGCTCCTGACTGCCCAGGCTGGGAATCAGGAGCTGAACAGGGCTATCTAGCCCCATCTTGCCAGAAACACTTGCTAGCCAGGTGACAGTAACAGTATATGCTAAGTCATCTCAGATCTCCATTTTCTCTGCTATGATGACAATGAGAAAATGCCTGAAAACATGTCCTCTGTAGTGCTTGACACAATAGGTGCTCACCAGAGTACAGTTCTCCCCTTCCTTGGGTTTTACAGTTGGGCTGATGGTGCAGATGCCCAAATCCAGGCTGCCTACTGGTAAGTCTACCCACAGCAGCAGAAGCGATAGAGCTGTGGGCCTGGGACGCACTCCTGAGGTTGAGCAAAAGAGGCCTCTGCCCCATGGGTAGAACTAGACCTATCCTTGTGCTGACTGGCTTACCAGGATGCATTTAGAACCTCTGGCTGCAGCCATAAATAGGGGAAAACCTTGGCTCCAGACTCAGCTCATTGAAGCACCAAATCTGGTGGCTTCAGCCATACAGGAGCTGTACCCCATATCACTGTCAGGCTTAATCCCACAAGCAAGCATGTCTGGGATGAGGCTTCTCTGGGACACACTTTATGTGCAGCTTGGAAAACACCTGTCCACAGGAGCTGGCTAGGAGCAGGAGATAACCAGGAAACAGATTAGTAGATACTTTTGGATAGAATTAGCTCTCTGAAGAAAAACAAAACAAAACTGGGTGATGTGGTGGAGTGTGCCTGGGCTATTCTCAGAGCAGGCTCTGATGGGAATGTGTTCCTTGACCTGAAAACTAAACAGCAGGCTGGGCCAAGAGGCAGGGCTGGCAAGCACAAAGGCTTGGGTGCAGGAATGAGTTCCAAGGAGCCCTTGGCAAAGCAGGAGACCCACTGTGTTTGGGAGAGGCAGTTAAGGGGAAATGACAGGAAGAAGCCAGAGAGAGGGAAGGCTGGATAGCTCATGAGGCTGTGGTGAAGAGTTCCCGAAGCATGATGGGAAACCACTTAGAGGGGTTTGAACCTATAAGGAATATGCTCTGATTTACAAGTAGGGTTTTCGGAGGAAAAATATGCTAGTGGTTCATAGAACTGAAAGTCTAAGGGTAGACTTAAGGCATAGCCAAATCCAAGAAAGTAATGAAGTCAGGGCTGCTCCTTTGTCCTTTTCTTGACTCCACTCTGTATCTGTTGGTTTTAGGCTTACTATCTCACTGCATATTGGGAGAGAAAACTACTGACCCCTTGAAGAAAAAACAAAAACAACAATTAAAAAAAACCCTCTCCTGTTATTCACTTACAATATCTGTGACACAGAGGGTTCTGATTAGCTTCAAAGGTGAGGTCACATGTCCATCCCTGTATAGGCTCATGGCAGAAGAAACTAAGAGGTATGATCCAAAAATATGGTGAATGTTTACCTTCAAATTTTTTAATACAGTAAAAGACATATTGCCATCAATGCCCCTCAAAATGTTCCCCCCTTGCTTCAAACACACTTCTCATTTTTCTTGCCACTTTCTGAAGCAGTTCTGGAAATCCTCTGTCATGTTTTTAGCTGTACTGTTGTGGATCCCTTGATATCCAAAGCCAGTTCAAAACATTTACCATTCCTGGTCATTTTGACTTTGTGGATAAACCAGAAGTTACATGGTGTCAGGTCTAGTAAATAAGGTAGATGAGGACACATTCCAATGTTTTCACAAGCCTACTTTTTCTATTGAATGGCTCTCAGCACCAGCATTCACCATATTTTTTTATCATATCTTGTAAAGGCATTAAAGGGGACTTCAGAACTGCTTCAAAAAGTGGCAAGAATGATAGGATAAGTGGTGGTGGAGGGAGTGGAGCTTTTGCAAATGTGGAAAGGAGACCAAGAGTTGGAAGGAGTGTGTGGGGGGTATGGAATAAAAAGAAAAAATAATTGAGATGTGTTATGTACATGTACCAACTCCCCATGAAATGTGTAATCATTATGTAGAATGAATGGATAAGTGTGTTCAAAGTGAGGTGAATTAATGACAGTGTCTTTCATTGTAATAATTTTTCTTTGGTACCAGGGATTGAACTTGGGTCCTTCCGCTTTTGAGGCAGGCAGTGGAACCACTGAGGTAAATCCCCTGCCTCATTGTAATAATTTTTAAAATTTAACATTCACCATATATTTTGATCACCCCTTATATACCTCTATCATGTAAATAGTAACACATGGTAGTATTGTTGTTGTCCTGGAGGCATAATTGCCCCCCTTTTTTTCTTATTACCCCATTTTTTTTCTCCTTGTGGCTGGGAGGGTAGCTCAGTGGTAGAGTTCTTGCCTAGCATGCTCAAGGCCCTAGATTTAATCTGCAGCAATGAAAAAAATTGTCTTCCTTAAGAAAAACTAAAGTCTTATCACATTCCAACTTACATCAATCACTTACAACCCATTACTGTTTCTTGAGAGTTTTCATTATATATCTTATCTCCTCAGTGAGACTCTGAGCGCGCGAAGGACAGGAATCATGGGTTCTATTTACCACTTCCTCTCTCAGTTGTCACTCTTCGCCTGCTCACTCTGCAAGATTTTACTGAATGCCTCTTGCATACCAGGCACTACTCTAGGGCCATGCTTTCCCTTTGTTTGTGTTGTCAGAGGTCATTCTGGCTGCTGAGTAGAAATGGTCAGAAGGGAGCAGCAGGCGAAGGAGAGTGACCAGTTGGAGACTTTGGAGACTGCCCAGCAGGAGTAGAGTAGCATGGACTGGTGAGATAGGACTTGGAGATGGACTCCTATGCGCAGATCTGAGGTACAGCTGCTGGGCAGCAAGGATGATTCAGGAGCAGAAGAGTCTGGCAGGCAGGGGTTGGTGGGTGGATACAGGGGTTGGTGGGCTACCTCTGCTCTGCCCCACGTGTCTGGTGACAACTAGAGGGCAGGGAAGTGCCATCTACCATTGACCCTGCTCCCTAGCAGCCAAGAGACGCCGGAGTAGGGGCTTGATGCTCCTGTGTGTGCTAGAAGCTTGCCTTGTTGCCACAGGGCCTGCACTGACCTGGATCCTGAGCACCAGCCATTCAAGCCATGGGCTGACTGTGTTGCTTCCCTCCCCAGGTGAAGGAGTGGCTCTGTCTCAACTGTCAGATGCAGAGGGCTCTGGGAATGGACATGACCACTGCGCCTCGCTCCAAGAGCCAGCAGCAGCTGCATTCCCCAGCACTGTCTCCTGCTCACTCCCCAGCTAAACAGCCCCTGGGGAAGCCAGAGCAAGAGCATTCTTGGGGCCCTGGGGGACCACAGCTGGGCTCCCGCCAGGCTGAGACATCCAGGGCCACCTCAGTGCTGGGGCCTGCCCAAGCAGCTGCCCCTCTAGAGGTGGGGAAGGTGTCTCCTCAGCCCTCTCTCCCCACCAAGCCTTCCACAGCTGAGCCCAGGCCACCTGCAGGAGAGGCCCCAGCAAAAAGTGCCACCACAGTACCCTCTGGGCTCAGTGCCAGTGAGCAGACCCAGGAGGGCCTCACTGGGAAGCTCTTTGGCCTTGGTGCATCGCTGCTGACCCAGGCAAGTACCCTTATATCTGTGCAGCCTGAAGCTGACCCCCAGGGCCAGCCTTCCCCCAGCAAGGGGCCCCCTAAGATTGTCTTCAGTGATGCCAGCAAGGAGGCTGCCCCAAGACCCCCAAGCTCAGGGCCTGGGCCAGCACCTGGAACCAAAACTGAGCCTGGGGCTAGAATGGGACTTGGATCTGGGCCTGGAACCCTGGCAAAGACTGTGGGAATGACCAGTCCAAAGCATGGCAAAGCAGAACATCAAGCAGCACCTAAGACTGCAGCCAAGCCAAAGACCATACCAAAGGAGAAGGCCACCTGCCCACTGTGCCAAGCTGAGCTCAACATGGGCAGCAAAGGCCCCGCCAACTATAATACCTGCACCACCTGCAAACTCCAGGTGTGCAACCTGTGTGGCTTCAACCCAACACCCCACCTGGTAGAGGTAAGAAAGCTGAGCCAGCTTTTGCTCTTTTGGATCTTGAAGAGGGCCCAGGGCCTAGGGCAAGGAGCCATGAAGCCAGGAAGCAGCAATGGGGCTGTCCCTCACACCTGATGCTGCTGGGGGCTGTGCTCCCTTTCCTGGCCTGCCTTGGCTCTTATCTTTCCACTTAAGAAACTGATTGGCACAGTGGCAGAGGGAAATTGTGCCTGCTGCCTCTGATTGGCTGATCAATACCCTGAGGGTTATTTAAGGCTTGGGAGACTCTGAGCTGACCTCCTCATTTCCAGCCACTGTAAGTATGGCCCTGATGAAACATGCCACCTCCTTTACTCAAGACAGGAAAAGCTTGAGGTTCCATCCCGCCCTCAATCTGTGGCCCTCACAAGGGTAGGGAGTTGAGGACCATGGAGCAAAAGGCTGTGCCCCAGGCCCAGGATGGAGCTGGAGGCTTTCTCACAGTGAGACGGACCCACTGCCCAGGCTCCTGCCCAGCCAGCTGGTGTCCACAGTTAAGCCTCTCTCCTGAGGCCATACGTGTAGCTGTCTACTTATCAAAACCATGATCCAAGGGCCAGGGATTTCAAGTTCAATCCCCGGTACCAAAAAAAAAAAACCTCACCATGATCCACATGTTTTCTCCTGACTGGGCTGGGCCTATGGTCTCCTAAGGTCTGCTTATAAGGATGCACAGAGATGCTCTTCTTACCCATAGGAAAGTTTGGGGAGAAGCAGGGTCCAGGGTTGGTCTGTCTGCAATCTCTGCTCCAGGGCAGGGTACTGGGCACTGTGTAGAGCCAGGTAGAAGGGAACAAGAGGCCCAATGTTCTTGAAAAACTTGGAGTCTACCCTGGAGGGCCTGGAAAGGTGGAAGTACTCCAGGTCTGCTGGACCATTGGCCTGGAGGCTGCATCTGCTCCTCCCCCAACCCCATTACCCACTCTCCCTTGCCCAGGGCCACCCATGTGAACCTCACCATGGGTGTCTTTGACATGGCTGGGTATGTCTCCTCAGGGCCTATGATTGGTTAATCTTCCATGTGGATGTGTATCATATCAGGAGATGGCCAATTAAAGACCCCTATCTCCTGCACATCAGTGCCACCTAAGTCCTTTGGACTCAGGCTAAGCCATGCGTGGCTGATGGTAGGGCAGGAGGTGGGAAGTACAAACCTTCACTGGCCTAGGGTGGGACAAGAAAGGAGAGCATAGGGTTGTATGGGCCCTGTGTCACCTTGTTCTGACTTGTGTTGATCCAGGCCTCTGTGGGAGTCCCATTGGAGCTACACAGTATGACCGGGGGATGACTTTGGTCACCACAGGCCACATTTCCAGCATGCAGAGAGGGGCAGCCCTGGGCAAGATGAGTGACCTCCTCACATGATACCATGTAGCCTTCCAGGCCCTACACTGCTACCTTTCCAGGCTTTAGACCCAGTGGCTCACTAGAGGACAGCTTTTCTGGCTGTCAGAGGGAGGAAGGGCACACCAAGGGGTAACTACAGGGCCAGGGGAGCACCAGCTGGGTGCCTTATGCAGGTACAATCAGGTACAAGCTCACTGCTGGTTGGGAGGTACCTTCTGACATTGAGGGACTATGAGCCCCAGTGGACTCATGACCTGGTCTGAAGGACCCTTGTTCCCAAGAGACCTCTCAGTCCACATTTTCTCCCTAAGCAGGATGTGCTTAAAGGGAAGGCAAAACTATCTCTGTCCAAGAGCATAAATATTCCTGAGGCTCCTTTTGGTAGTCCTGGAGCAGGCCACAGGAAGTGCCGAATCAGCCCAAACAAAAATGTTTCAGTCATATGCTGATTCTAGATGAGGTGTCTAGGTTCTGACCTAAGCTTCTCATTAGCTGTTTGACTCTGGCTTTCCTGGGTCCCAAAGCTTCTGCCTCTTCGCTGCCAGCATTGCCCTTCCTCAACTCCCTACAATGTCCTTCTGTCTCCATGCTACCTCCTTGGCCTCCTTGCTTCTACTAGGTCTGGTGACTTTATGGGCCTGCAAACAAAGCTGATAGGTATCCTGGTCCTCCCTCCTCCCAGCTCAGACCCTTTGCTTCCCTCATTGCGGCTCCTAGTTGGTTTTTTTTTTTTTTTTTGGTACCAGGGATCGAACTTGGGTCCTTGTGCTTGCACAGCAGGCGGCGAAACCACTGAGCTAAATCCCCAGCCCCCCTCATTGCTGCTCCTAATGGCAGTCAAAGGAGGATGCAGCTCTTGTGACCCCTTTCTCTCATAGCTTTGCTGATAGATGCTTTTGTTGCAGAGGGCCTGTTATTGCTCTGGGAAAGTGTGGACAGGCAGCCATAATGCCCCTTCCTGTGGGTCCTACCATGGAGACCCCATCATTATCCATTACCAGAGTTATAAGCCAGGAATCAACTGGAGTTATGTTCAACTCCTCCTCTCACCTCAGCGCCCACTCCATGAACCAAGCCCTTCTAGCTCTGCCTCCCTATCATAGAATCTCACCTCTCCTCTCTATCCTATGGCCAAAATCCTAGTCCTCCCTTCCTTGTCCTCCCATAGCCACCTAGCCAGTTTCACCTGTCTGAATCTTTTGAAGGGCCAGTAGGGAAGAGAAGAACCTCTCCCCTTCAGTATTGCTTTTCTTCACTGAAGCCCTTAACTAGGCAGGCCATGGGCTGTATTCAGTCTCACCTCAGAGAATGGCCTTTGGTGTTTTGAACAGTTTCATCTTCTCTATGGCCTACTTTGTATGTTCTTGGGTAGAGGTTTCTGAATTCTCACCATGTGCTGAGAATCTCATCCTTGGGAGTGGGATAATAGAGGTATCGGTCCTTGTCCGGTTTCTAGGGGTTGGTCTACCAATCTTGCTTGATCAAAGCTAGCCTGCCTGGCTCAGAGTGACTGCTGTGTGTCTGCACAGTGTGAGGCAGAGCCACCATCTGCACCAGCCTGTTGGGAATTTTTCACAACATCTCTGAGCTGTAAAAACTGTTTCCTTCAAGTCCAGAGCATATGATACAAGAAGCAGTAAAATTAGACTCATTTTTTTTCCCCTTGAAACTTCTCTGAAAAAAACCAAAAAAAACCCAAAACAGTGCTTCTGAGTGAGTTATTTCATGATTAAGAGTTGTTGATTCCAACTTTTTAAAAACTATTTATCTTTTTGAAAGATAATAGTACCCCAGATTAATTTTTCATTAACTTTCATTTCAAAATGGAGTGTGTGAAGAAATTAGTGGAATTAGAACTGTTACAATAATATTGCCAGTTTTTTACTTATTATTATTGCCAAAATTCTAGCTGTGCTCTCAAGAAGTCCAGTCTCCCTGAGCAAGGGTCTTGCACCTGGGATGTATGGTGTTTGGCTGGGCTATATGCAGAGGCTACGGTAGGGCATCAGGTGTGAGGCCCAGCTGCCTCCATTGGTGCTCCTCAGGCTACTGCTGAGGTAGTGACCTCAGGAGCCCTGTCCCCTCCCATGAAGAATGGAACAGGAATGCTTTTGTTGGGTTTCTACGAGAGCCAGAAGAGATGCTGTGCCTCACACATTTATGTTTCAGCCAGGAAATTGGATCCAAAGTGTCCCAAAGGACAGTTTCCATAAAGGGGAAAATGAATCCCTACAAGTCCCTCCCTCTGGGCATGAATGGGTACTGTGGCCAGTGCAAGCGCTTGGTCTCATCCAGGACACTACACAGAGAATAAACACATTTAGCACTGAGGCCTGAGAAGAGCACATCCCAGCCACAACACACATCCTGGGGACACCAGGAAGGGTTCAATGCCAGGTAAAAGCCCAGAATAGAGGAACTGAGACATGGACATAGGTCTATGTCACAGTCAAAAGAAGAACAGCAGCACTAGTGGTGGCTGTGTCTCAGTCTTTGCCTCTGAGGATCCTTTCTTCTGGGGTTCTGATTCCTTGCCCCCTTTTGGGGTAGTGGGTCTGAGTGTAAACCCCATGGGGTGTAAAACAGGATGTATGTTATGGTGTAACACAGCTTGGACATAGCTCAGCTCCACAAATAGAGATTGTGTGGACTGCAGGCTCATTAAGACAGTGGCAGATCCACAGAGCACGCCAGCTATTGGTTCCAGAAGGCATGAATGTCTCACATATCTGTGGGGCACCTCACCATCTCTCTCTCTCTCTCTCTTTTTTTTTTTTTTGGTTCAGGGGATCGAACTCAGGACCTTGCGCTTACGAGGCAGGTGGTGGAATCACTGGGTTAAATCTCCAGCCCTTCACTATCTCTCTTAGTGAACTCATTTCCCCTTTCTCACCCTAAACAGTGGTATCCTGCTTGCCCCACGGCCTATAATCCCAGCATTCTGGGATGCTGAAGCAGGAGGATTGCAAGTTCAAGCCCAGCCTGGGCAACTTAGTGACTTAGTGAGACCTTGTCTCAAAATAAAAAGATAAAGATCCGGGTATGGTGGTGCATGCCTGTGATCCCAGTACTTGGGAGGCTGAGGCAGGAGGATCGCTACGAGTTTGAGGCCAGCCTGGGCTACATAGTGAGTTCAGGACCAGCCTGAACTACAAAGGGAGACCCTGTCTCAAACCACACCCCCAAATAAAATAAAAAGATAAAAAAGGCTCGGGACATAGCTCAGTGCAAAGGCCATGAGTTCAATCCCCAGTACCAAAAAACAACTACAACAAACAAAAAAACGGTGATACCCTGAGCTACTGAGCTCCATGCATGCAGGCCTACATTTCCCACCTTTCTGCACCCAGAAAGGAGAGGTCAGAGGGAGGCAAGACAGAAGTAGCCATCAGAGTCTCCTCATTGTCCATTCTCTGTCTGCTTGCCGAAGGGACCAAACCAAGGGGTTGTAGGCAGCAGTTCCCCCAGGGCTGAGGCTGGCTGGAGCTCAGTGAAAGAGAGTATAGGAGAATGTGTAAGTGACTGAATGAATGAGGAAGGGTATAAACACTGCAGTGAAGGAAAGGATGAATGAATGCAAAATTGAGTGGAAGAACAAGGAGCAGAGGTGTGGGCATTTTGGGGTAGAGGAAGATGAGAGTAGAGGGAATAAAGGTATTGGGATCCAGCAACTGTGTTCCAGCCCCCAGGCATGGAGATTTTTCCTGGTCTGCCTCCCACCTGTCCCCATCCCCATCCCCATCCCCAGAGGCCCTGGGCCTGGGCCAGCTCCCCTAGCTCTGCAACTACCATCCCCAATGCCTCGTACCCTTCTTCTCCCACTCTCAAAGGATGGGAAAGGGCCTAGGAGGCAGGTCAGTATTTATTTTTAGCTCTTCATATGCCTCCTCCTGCCACCCTCCCTTTCTCACTGCTTGCTACAGCAGAGCCAGGAGCAAAAGAGCCAACCACGCAGGCTTTCTGTAACTTGGCTGGGTCCAAGGAACAAACCTATGAAGGAACAAAGGCCCCAGGGAGCATGTGACCACAAGTGACACGCTCTATTAAGGGATACCTGGGAGCTCAGGTAAGCAGGTCTCTGCAGGGACTAGCCCAAGCCCTTGGCATTGGATCTGCCTGCTCTATCAGACCACCCTCCCAAGGTGTCCTTGCTTCATTTAGACCAGTGGTGGTGAACCTATGGCACATGTGCTGAAGCAGGCTATTTGTTATCATTGAAAGCTCTAAAAGGTTCACCATCTCTGATTTAGGCTGTTGCTTCTGGGGTGGGGTCTTCAGGCCAGAGGTGGGATTAGGATTTGCCCAGTGAGAAAGGTGAGCCAGGGCAGATAATCCAACTAACCTAGGATGGATATATGCAGGGTCCCAACTTACCTAGGATGGATATGTGCCAAGGTAGTCAGGGCAGCATTGCGTGGGTTCCCTGTCTGGCCCAGATCCTAACCCCATTATGCCAATCCTGGGGTTAAGGGAGGAGCTTTTTGTTTATTCCCAGAAGTCTCTCTTGGCCTCTTCCTAAGATCTTTTTGCCATTCAGTGTCCTCTGGGACAAAGGGGGATTTCCATTATGTCTCCAGGTGATTCTGGGGCATGTGGGCTGGAATTTCAGAATCATGCTCTGTGCTTACCCATACCATGTTCATCTCAGAGCTGTGTCTCACTCTGTGCAGCACTCTCTGCAGGCACCTCAAGGATGGACCCTGCTAGACCAAGTAAGCCTAAGACTCAGCCTGTGGCCAGTACTTACTGCCTCACAGGGGTTTGTGTGGGGGACACCAGAGCATCATATAAAGTGAAAACAAGTTGGAGTGGAGGTAGGGCTGGATCCTTCAAAGAACAAGCTGAGTAAATGGAAGCTTTCTGAAGGGTCCCCCTCCACTACTCCACTACTCCATCCTTCTGCCCAGGATTTGTGCATAGGCCGGGGCCTCTAAGAGCAGGTGCTTCAGCCTCAGGAAATATCCTGTACTCTGAGTAACAAGCCTGTTGGCCAGGCTGATCCCTCAGTATACACTGAAGCCCAATTCCATGCCCAGCCTGACCTCTACTGAGGCCTAGGTTAGGGGTGAAATTGTAGAGCAAAATTGTTGACATGGGATCTTCCATGGTGGCCTGGGTGAAGACAGCCACCCTGGCAAGGGCTTCAAAGGCTCTTCCACATGGGCTGGGATTTCACACCATGTGAGGTGAGTGCCCCAAGGCCATTGACCTGCTTGGGTGGTCAGGGCCAGGAGCCACCCCTTCCCTTGTGTACTGGATCTGTGACCTTGCAGTTCTCATAATGGTCCATCCTGGTGGCAGACCTGCTGGTGGAAGCCTGAGTGGGCACCTAGAGTAAGCAGTGACAGGAAGGAAGGAGCTCCAAGCTTCTGTACCCAAGGAGCAAGAACAGACACAGGTAGGGAGAGGGCCTTGTTTTGGGCTATATTATAACCCTTATTCCCCAATAGGCCAGGGGAGACCCTCAAATTGTGACCCTGGAGGAAGATTCTGGGCCCTCATCAGCCTCAGTCCTACTTTAGGAATTACCCTCTCAGAGCCCACAGATGCCAAAACCCACCCCAGTGCAGCTCTCTCGAATTAGGGGACTTAGTTATGGCTTCTGGTGTTCTGAGAGCTTTACCACTGGTACCTGTGCCATGCTTGTAAAGACATATTTGGGACTGTAGGCCCCAAGGAAGCTGCATGCTGGTCCCTCTCTGTCTTGGTCATGGCTGTATCTTCAGCCCTCAGCTCTGGGCCTGAAACAGTGGCTTATTCTGAGAATGGGGGCTGATAGCTAAGAATTGATGCCAGCTCTGCTCTAGAAGGAACAGTCTAGAGTCCTAAGAGCAGAGAAGCCCTCTGCCCAAGGCTTTTTGCTGGCATTAGACAAGGTGACTTGGGGTGGGAATATGATCAGGGAGTATTGATTGCTCAGCCCTCACCCCAAACAGGGCCTCTCCCAGACAGTCTCTCCAGGCCCCAGGCATGTGCCCTTGCCCAGCACAGCCCTTACTTGGGGAAGGATGGCATGGGTGTCAGGCTTGAGAGCTAGAAAACAGGGGAAGGGCAGTGTCTCCATGTTTGGCTGTCACTCCTATCCTGCAGGGGCTTCTAAGTGCTGTACTCCACACCAGCATTTGAGGGGTGAGGGGTGAGAGGTGTGGAAGTTAGGACCTCAACTTCCCCTTGCACTGCTGTGGCTTCCCCTAACCCAGACTTTTCCTTTTCTGGCCCAGAGAAAAGTTCTCTATTGGTTTAGAAAAGGATCCTTTTTGGCTTGTCATTTCCAGTTTGTATATGTTCATCTTAAGCATGGGGGAAGCTTATCATTTGGGGCAATACATCTATCAGTCTTTTTCTCTTTATGCTTTTGGTGTCATGCTTTGAAAAAACTTTCTCCTCCCTAAGGGTACCAAAATAGTCATAGAAATATTCTTTGAGAATACCACTGTCTTTGATTTTCATCAACCTCCCTCTTGTTTCCTTTCAGAAAACAGAGTGGCTCTGTCTGAACTGCCAAACTAAGAGGCTGCTGGAGGGCAGCCTGGGAGAACAGACCCCCCTGCCACTGCCCACCTCACAGCAGCCTCCTATAGGGGCTCCTCACCATGCAGCTGTATCAGCCCCTCTGAAGCAGAAAGGGCCACAGGGGCTGGGCCAGCCATCAGGTCCCTTGCCTACCAAGGCCAGCCCCTTGCCCACCAAGGCAAGCCCCCTGTCCCCCAAGTCAACCCCCCTCCCCAACAAGGCCAGCCCCCAGGCCAAGCCCGTTAAGGCTCCTGAATCCAGCAAGACCCCAAGCAGTGCCCAAGAAAAGAAGACAGGAGTACCTGCTAAAGCTGAGCCCATACCGAAGCCACCTCCAGAGACAACACTGCCTCCTGGGACTCCTAAAGTAAAGAGCGGAGTGAGGAGGATTGACCGTGCCACCCCTGTTGTCAAGGCTGTTCCAGAAGCCTCCAAGAGTGGGGAGGCAGAGGTCAGTCCCTCAGGCTTCTCAGGGATCCTGGCTTTCAAGATGGTATAGGTTAGGGAAGGGCTTGCCTACCTAGGGTTCTAAGGATGTAGGTCACAGAGAGCAGAGATGACCCCAGAATGAAATCCAGAGGAGGCTTGGGCAGGCCTGGAGAGCCTAAAGTGGAGACTAGTCCCACACCTGGTACTTTTTTGGGTTCCCTTCTGGGTTTTGACATCTTTTGATCTAGAAAAGTTTCTCTTTGACAATCTAGGGCTCCTTGGGGCTAGCCATAAGACCTGTAAGTTATTTAGGGCCAGACAGAGGAAGGTAGGCTCTAAGCCCTTGGAGGTGGAGGAGCTTTTCCCCAGGGCCCTGGGATTGACTCAGCGACTGCAAATCAATGTCTGCTTCTCACTCTGCTGCAGGAGTCAGTGGGCAAGCCTTACTCTCAGGACCTGTCTCGGAGCCCACAGAGCCTCAGTGACACAGGCTATTCCTCTGATGGCGTCTCCAGCTCCCAGAGTGAGATTACTGGTGTTGTGCAGCAGGAGGTGGAGCAACTGGACAGTGCAGGGGTGACAGGGCCACGTCCACCCAGCCCCTCAGAGCTCCACAAGGTGGGGAGCAGCGTGTGGCCTTTGCTGGAGGCCCAGGCTGTGGCCCCCAGTGCAGAGCAGAGCAAACCACCCTGCAGCAGCGCTGGTGAGAAGCAGAAGCGGCGGCCTCTCTCCTTGTCCATCATGCCTGAGGCCTTCGACTCTGATGAGGAGCTGGAAGATATCCTGGAGGAAGATGAGGACTCTCTGGAGTGGGGGCACCAGCGGGAGCAGCGGGACACAGCTGAGTCCTCAGATGATTTTGGCAGCCAGCTGAGGCATGACTACGTGGAAGACAGCAGTGAGAGTGGCCTTTCCCCGCTTCCACCCCAGCCCCCACTTAGGGCAGCAGAGCTGACAGATGAGGAGTTTATGCGACGACAGATTCTGGAGATGAGTGCTGAGGAGGACAACCTGGAGGAGGATGACACTGCTGCCTCAGGGCGTGGCCTGACCAAGCACAGCACCCAGAAGGGTAGCACTAGGCCCAGGCCTGAGCCTGGCCAAGAGCCAGCAGCACTGCCCAAGAGGCGCCTGCCCCACAATGCCACCACAGGTTATGAGGAACTGCTTTCGGAGGGAGGCCCTGCAGAATCCACTGACAGTGGTGGGGCCCTGCAGGGTGGGCTGCGCCGCTTCAAAACAATTGAGCTCAACAGTTCTGACAGCTACAGCCATGAACTAGATCTGGGACAAGGCCCTGATGCCATTCTAGACCGGGAGCCTGAGCTGGAGATGGAGAGCCTGACAGGTTCACCTGAGGACCGCTCCCGTGGAGAGCATTCCTCCACACTGCCTGCCTCCACACCCAGCTACACCTCGGGCACCTCTCCCACTTCCCTGTCCTCGCTAGAGGAAGACAGTGACAGCAGCCCTAGCCGCCGGCAACGACTGGAAGAAGCAAAGCAGCAGCGCAAGGCCCGGCACCGCTCCCACGGGCCCCTGTTGCCCACCATTGAGGACTCCTCAGAAGAGGAAGAGTTGAGGGAAGAAGAAGAGCTGCTTCGTGAGCAGGAGAAGATGCGTGAGGTGGAGCAGCAACGCATCCGTAGCACAGCCCGCAAGACCCGGCGTGACAAGGAAGAGCTGAGGGCCCAGCGGCGCCGTGAGCGCTCCAAGACACCACCCAGTAACCTGTCACCCATTGAGGATGCATCCCCCACAGAGGAGCTGAGGCAGGCAGCTGAGATGGAGGAGCTCCACCGCTCCTCATGCTCTGAATACTCACCTTCACCCTCCCTTGACTCAGAGGCCGAGGCCCTGGATGGTGGGCCTAGCCGGCTGTACAAGTCAGGTAGTGAGTACAACTTGCCCACTTTCATGTCCCTCTACTCCCCCACTGAGATACCCTCAGGCAGCTCCACCACTCCCAGCTCTGGACGACCCCTTAAGAGTGCAGAGGAGGCCTATGAGGAGATGATGAGAAAAGCTGAGCTACTCCAGAGGCAGCAGAGCCAGGTGGTGGGGGCCCATGGGCCCCATGGTGTCCCCTCTCAGCCCACAGGCCCCGGGGGTCAAGGCATCTTTGAATACCAAGATGCCCCAGATCGTGACTATGGCAGGGGAGCTCAGCCTGCCCCAGAAAGCACAGCAGCCAGCCTGGGAACAGCTGTATATGAAGAGATCCTTCAGACATCACAGAGTATAGCCCGTATGCGGCAGGCCTCCTCCCAGGATCTGGCCTTTCCTGAGGACAAGAAGAAGGAGAGGCAGTTTCTGAATGCTGACAGTACATACATGGACCCAATGAAGCAAAATGGTGGCCCGCTTACCCCTGGCACTAGTCCCACCCAGCTCGCTGCCCCTATGTCTTTCACCACTTCCACCTCCTCAGATAGCAGTGGGGGCCGAGTTATTCCTGATGTTCATGTCACTCAGCATTTTGCAAAGGAGCCTCAGAACTCCCTCAAGCTACACAGCAGCCCTGCCACCCCTAGCTCAGCCTCCAAGGAGGTAGGAACATCCTTCTCTCAGGGCCTTGGGACCCCAGCCACCACAGCTGTAGCTCCTTGTCCAGCCAGCCTGCCACGAGGGTATATAACTTCAACCTCCCCAGATGGCTCTGAGCGTACTCTTTCACCATCTTCCACAGCCTATAGCTATGGACAGAGCCTAACCACTGCAAACTACGGGTCCCAAACTGAGGAGCTCCCTGAAGCCTCTAGTGGCTCTGCTGTGGGCAGCCGAGCTGCCAGAGAGAAAGCCCTGAGAAGGACTGATGGCGAGGCTGGTCCTCCCCGTGCTTCCTGGGGATATTCCTACTTTGCAGGCTCTAGCCCGCCTCTCTCCCCATCGTCCCCCTCAGAGAGCCCCACATTCTCTCCAGGCAAGCTGGGCCCAAGAGCCACAGCAGAGTTCTCTACACAGACGCCAAGCCCAATCCCTTCCTTAGAAATGCCTCGGAGCCCTGGTACCCCCACCTCTACCTCCATGGTAGCCCAGGGCACACAAACACCACATAGACCCAGCACGCCTCGCCTGGTGTGGCAACAGACTTCTCAGGAGGCTCCTTTTATGGTCATCACACTGGCATCAGATGCCTCCAGCCAGACCAGGATGGTACATGCCAGTGCCTCCACCTCCCCACTGTGCTCACCTACTGACAGCCAGCCCATTACCCACAGCTACAGCCAGACAACACCTCCAAGTGTGTCTCAGCTGCCCTCACAGCCACCTGGGCCACCACCTGGTTTTCCACGTGTACCCAGTGCTGGTGTAGAAGGGCCTCTGGCACTATATAGCTGGGGTACCCTCCCTGCTGAAAACATCTCTCTATGTCGGATCTCCTCTGTCCCTGGAACATCTAGAGTTGAGCCAGGGCCCAGGCACCCTGGCAGTGCAGTAGTAGACCTCCGCACAGCTGTCAAGCCCACGCCTATCATCCTCACTGACCAGGGCATGGATCTGACCTCTCTTGCTGTGGAAGCAAGGAAGTATGGCCTTGCCCTGGATCCCATCCCAGGACGGCAGTCAACTGCCGTGCAGCCTTTGGTTATCAACCTTAATGCCCAGGAGCAGACTCATGCCTTCCTGGGCAATGCCACTACTGTAAGCATTACCATGGCCTCATCTGTGCTCATGGCTCAGCAGAAGCAGCCTATGGTGTATGGAGACCCCTTCCAGAGCCGACTTGACTTTGGCCAGGGTTCCGGTAGTCCCGTGTGCCTGGCCCAGGTGAAGCAAGTAGAACAGGCTGTCCAGACAGCCCCATACAGAAGTGGGTCCCGGGGAAGGCCCAGGGAGGCCAAGTTTGCCAGGTATAATCTGCCCAACCAGGTAGCACCTCTGGCCAGAAGGGATGTGTTAATCACTCAGATGGGAACCACCCAGAGTGTTAGCCTCAAGTCAGGCCCAGTGTCAGAGCCTAGTGCTGAACCCCATCGAGCCATTCCTGCAGAGCTGCAGTCACATGCTCTGCCAGGTGCCAGGAAGCCACATGCTGTGGTGGTACAGATGGGAGAAGGCACAGCAGGCACTGTGACCACACTGCTCCCAGAGGAGTCAGCAAGTGCCCTGGATCTCACTGGGATGAGGCCTGAGAGTCAGCTGGCATGCTGTGACATGGTCTATAAGTTCCCCTTTGGCAGTAGCTGCACTGGTACCTTTCATCCTGCCCCAAGTGCACCTGAAAAGAGTGTGGCAGATACTGCCCTGCCTGGCCAAAGCAGTGGCCCCTTCTACAGTCCTCAGGACCCTGAGCCCTCTGAGCCCCCTACCTACCGGGCACAAGGGGTAATGGGGCCTGGACCCCATGAAGAGCAGAGATCCTACCCACAAGGCTTCCCTGGAAGGCTGTACTCTTCCATGTCTGACACCAATTTGGCTGAGGCTGGCCTCAACTACCATGCCCACAGGGTTGGGCAGCTCTTCCAGGGCCCTGCACGAGACTCAGCCATGGACCTCAGCTCCTTGAAGCACTCCTACAGCCTGGGATTTGCAGATGGGCGCTACCTAGGGCAGGGCTTGCAGTATGGCTCATTCACAGACCTGCGCCATCCCACAGACCTTTTGACTCATCCACTTCCCATACGGCGCTACAGCTCAGTGTCGAACATCTACTCAGACCATAGGTATGGGCCACAGGGAGATGCAGTTGGCTTCCAGGAGGCCAGCCTTGCCCAGTACAGCGCCACCACAGCCCGTGAGATCAGTCGCATGTGTGCTGCACTCAACTCCATGGACCAGTATGGTGGGCGGCATGGCAGTGGTGGCACTGGCCCTGACCTTGTTCAGTACCAGCCCCAACATGAGCCTGGGCTCAGTGCTCCACAGGGTCTGGCTCCCCTCAGACCTGGCCTCCTTGGTAATCCTACTTTCCCAGAGAGCCATCCAGGTCCCAGAAACCTGGCCCAGTATGGCCCTGCACCAGGCCAGGGAACGGCAGTCAGGCAGCTGCTACCATCCACAGCCACTGTGCGTGCAGCTGACGGTATGATCTACTCGACTATCAATACTCCAATTGCTGCAACCCTGCCCATCACCACCCAGCCCGCCTCAGTACTGCGACCCATGGTGCGTGGTGGCATGTACAGGCCTTATGTGTCTGGTGGACCCACAGCTGTGCCACTCACCAGTCTCACACGAGTACCCATGATTGCCCCCCGGGTACCTCTTGGGCCTACAGGGCTGTACCGATATCCTATACCAAATAGATTCCCCATTTCTTCAAGCGTTCCACCTGCTGAGGGCCCGGTTTATCTGGGGAAACCTGCTGCCAAGGCCCCAGGGGTGGGTGGCTACCCCAGGCCAGAGCTGCAGGCAGGGGCTGCCCGAGAAGAACCTTATTCCACAGCTGCCCCAGCAGCTGTCAAGGAGTCTGTGGCAGCCCCCACCCCCACCCCTGCCCTACCATCTGGCCAGAAGCCACCTGGAGATGCTGCTGCTGCTGGAGGTGGGAGTGTGACCCTTGGCCGGCCTGGTCTTGAGAAGGAGGATGCATCTCAGGAAGAGCGGCAGCGGAAGCAACAGGAGCAGCTGCTACAGCTGGAGAGAGAGAGGGTGGAGCTGGAGAAACTTCGACAGCTAAGGCTGCAAGAGGAGCTAGAGCGGGAGAGGGTAGAGTTGCAGAGGCACCGCGAGGAAGAGCAGCTGTTGGTGCAGCGGGAATTACAGGAGCTGCAAACCATCAAGCACCATGTGCTGCAGCAGCAGCAAGAGGAACGCCAGGCTCAGTTTGCTCTGCAGCGGGAGCAGCTGGCACAACAGCGTCTTCAGCTGGAGCAGATCCAGCAGCTACAGCAGCAGCTACAGCAGCAGCTAGAGGAACAGAAGCAGCGGCAGAAGGCCCCCTTCCCAGCAACCTGTGATGCCCCTGGCCGAGGGCCTCCCCCAGCTGCCCCTGAGCTGGCCCAGAATGGCCAGTACTGGCCACCCTTGACCCATACCGCTTTCCTTGCTGTGGCAGGGCCTGAGGGGTCTGGGCAGTCCCGTGAGCCTGTGCTGCACCGGGGCCTCCCCAGTTCTGCCTCTGACCTGTCGCTGCAGACTGAGGAGCCATGGGAGGCAGGCCGAAGTAGCCTCAAGAAGCAGCACTCCATGCCCCGCCTGAGGGATGCCTGTGAACCAGAGTCGGCACCTGAGCCCTATGTGGTCAAGAGAATTGCAGACAGCAGCGTGCAGACAGATGATGAAGATGGTGAGGCCAGGTACCTCCTGACTCGACGACGCAGGACGAGACGGAGCACTGACTGCAGCGTGCAGACTGATGATGAGGACAGTGCTGAATGGGAGCAGCCAGTGCGCCGGCGCAGGTCTCGTCTTTCCCGGCACTCAGACTCAGGCTCTGACAGCAAGCACGATGCCACTGCCTCATCATCCACGGCCACCACCACTGCTAGGGCCATGAGCAGTGTGGGCATCCAAACAATCAGTGACTGCTCTGTGCAGACAGAGCCTGACCAGCTGCCCAGGGTCTCTCCAGCCATCCACATCACAGCTGCCACTGATCCTAAGGTGGAGATTGTCAGGTACATATCAGCACCAGAGAAGACTGGGCACGGGGAGAGTCTGGCCTGCCAGACGGAGCCAGATGGGCAGGCCCAGGGTGTGGCTGGACCACAACTTGTAGGCCCAACTGCCATCAGCCCCTACCTGCCTGGTATTCAGATTGTCACCCCAGGGCCACTGGGCAGATTTGAAAAAAAGAAGCCAGATCCTCTGGAGATTGGGTATCAGGCCCATCTGCCCCCGGAGTCCCTCTCCCAGCTTGTGAGCCGCCAGCCTCCTAAGTCCCCCCAGGTCCTCTACTCACCAGTCTCACCCCTGTCCCCACATCGGCTCCTGGACACCTCCTTTGCTTCCAGTGAGAGGCTGAACAAAGTTCATGTGAGTCCACAGAAGCACTTCACAACTGACAGCGCACTCCGCCAGCAGACGCTGCCTCGGCCTATGAAGACCTTGCAACGGTCCTTGTCTGACCCTAAGCCCCTCAGCCCCACCGCCGAGGAGTCTGCCAAAGAGAGATTCTCCCTCTACCAGCACCAGGGGGGACTGGGTAGCCAGGTATGGGAACAAGGGCTGATGCAGGGTGGGACAGGGTTCTCTGTTTAGCCTAAGGGACCCCAGAGGGAAGGGTTTCTCCTGGGGTGGGAATGGAATTACCCCTGATTCCAGAGGCTTAGGGGAAGAAGTGGAGCAAAAGATCTCCTCAGTGCACATCTGACAGAGCCCACAGACTGATAAGGACAGCCCAGGCAAAGACACACATACATGGGCTCCCCACCATCCATCTAGATACCTCACAGGAAACCTCCCCTCTCCCAGCCTGTGCTCTCATTATGAGGTGAGTTTAGCCTTGCTGCCTCTCCCTCAGGGCTCTTCAGTTCTTACCTCCCACCTGGGCACCTTTCACTCCGGACCTTGTTTGTTCTTGGATGTTTATTTCCTGAGAAATGAGGACCATGGCTCTGGCAGGGCTGCTCCCCACTCATCAGCCCAGCCATGCTCCCATTGCCCCACAGCAAAGCCCAGCCCCCATCCTAGAACCTGCAGCCCATCCCAGAGGGCTTCAATGTGTTATCTGCCTCACTGTTCCCTGCCCCAAGTAACTGGTTACACACATATCTACTCTTCTTGATAGAGCCTCTTGGTGTGTGGCCAATGACATGCTGGACTGTAAGAGGTAGCCTAGTCATGGGCTGTAGTGATAGGATGGGGTTGTGAGGGCCTGATGCCAAGGACTTTGAGGGCCAGGCTTTTCTCAGAGGCCCTGGAAGCCTCTGGAAGTTTTAGGCAGGTAAGACAGGATGAGATGGATATCTTAGAGTTTCTGGGGCACAATGTGGGGTAGTGGGCCTAAGGAAGAGAACCTGGGGAGAGAAGGTAGGAGCCAAAGGCATTGAGAGATAAATTTACCCATTTTCTGGTTTTGACACAGAAAGGAAAAAAGTAGAGCCCAGGGTGGGGTTTGTGGAGATGAAGAGCCTCGGGTATGTAGATAGTGGGGATGGCATCAGGAGTCGGGACTGGCAGGGAGGACTGGGCAGAGAGGCAGGGACACAGGTCCCAGGCCTTACATGTGAATCCAGGCTGTGATAGTCCATGATGTGTGGCCAAAATAAGACAACAGAGTGAGGAGTTCAAAAAGCTGAATTTATTCTAAGGCCTGCATTTGTTCTGAGACTTGGGAACATACTATCCGTTTATAACATGGTAAAAGTTACTTGGCAAGGACAAAAGTAAAAATCTTGGTGTCATCCAATTTGGATGGTCCAACTGGGGAACTAGGAGCTGGTGGGTAATAGGAGGACCAATCTAGCAGTGTGGGCCTTCAGGCAGCAGCTGTGCCAGGTGAGGAGGGTGCTGTGGAGGGCACCACTAGGGAACCTTGAGCAGGAAGCCATGCTTCTGGAGAGAGGCCTGCTGGTGGTTCTAGAGAACAGCAGGCTGACAGAGGGGTTTGGCAGAGGTTAGTCCAGGGCCATTAGAGGAGGGGGTGGGCAGGTAGCCGAACAGCAAGCCACTCTAGAGAGGAGTGGGTCGGGGAGCAGAAAGGGACTCAGCCTGCAACATTAGCATGTACCCTTCCCATGATCCTCTAAGGAGCGGGTGGGCCCAGGAACCACTCCATAGCGCTTTTCCTGTTCATGCCCTCCACCAGCCCCCACCAGCTGCTAGGTCCCAAACCCAGAGCCAGGCTTGTCATCCTCACCTCCCATGGAGGTCCCACTCCCACTGAAGAAGTCTAGGGGTTCTCGAAGCCACCATGTATGGAAACCAAGGCAGAGGGCAACCTGCCCCTCTCACCTGCCCACTGCCCAGAGCTCTGGAAAGAAGTACTATGACCCAAAACTGGTGGGTGGGCAGGGTCAGGCCTTGAGGCTACTTTATAAATCAGGGAATCAACAGTATAGAGTTCCTGGGTTCTTTTACCCCATGCCCTGTCCCTTCACCCACACCTTGGGTCTCAGTGCTGCCCACCCTTCCCTCTGTCTCAGGTGTCGGCGCTGCCACCCAACGGCCTGGCCCGCAAGGTGAAGCGGACACTGCCCAGCCCCCCTCCAGAGGAGGGTCACCTTCCCCTGGCTGGCCAGGCCCCCCCACAGCTGTATGCAGCCAGCCTGCTACAGCGAGGGCTAGCGGGGCTCACCACCGTCCCTGCCACCAAGGCCAGCCTGCTTCGGGAGCTGGACCGGGACCTGCGCCTGGTGGAGCATGAGTCCACCAAGCTGCGCAAGAAGCAGGAGGAGCTGGACGAGGAGGAGAAGGAAATTGATGCCAAGCTCAAGTATCTAGAGCTGGGCATCACTCAGCGCAAAGAGTCTCTGGCCAAAGACCGAGGTGGCCGTGAATGCTCACCCTTGCATGGCCTTGGTGTACATCGAGATTACCTGTCAGATAGCGAGCTCAATCAGCTGCGGCTGCAGGGCTGCATCACTCCTGCCCGCCAGTATGCAGGCTTCCCAGCCACAGCTGTTGCACCAGCCACCCCCTCAGTCCCCACTGCCTTCCAGCAGCCCCGATTCCTGCCTCCAGCCCCACAGTACACTGTAGGCAATATCGGGCCAGCTCAGAATGAACTCCCAGCCCACCAGGCACCCACCTACCCTGGCCCCAACACGTACCCAGCACCTGCCTTTCCTCCCAGCACAAGTTACTCAGCCGAGCCTAGCCTGCCAAACCAGCAGGCTTTCTGCCCCTCAGGCCACTATGCATCCCAAACACCCATGCCAACCACACAGAGTACCCTTTTGCCTGTCCCAGCTGACAGCCATGCACCTCACCAAAAGCCACGTCAAACATCATTAGCTGACTTGGAGCAGAAGGTGCCCACCAACTATGAGGTGATTCCCAGCCCTGTTGTGGCCATGTCTTCGGCCCCTTCTGAAACCAGCTATAGTGGACCAGTAGTAAGCAGCAGCTATGAGCAGGGCAAAGCCCCTGAACTGCCCCAAGCCAGTGACTGTGGGAGTGTGAGCCAGAGTCCAGTCCCCACCTACCCCTCTGACTCACACTACACCAGTCTGGAGCAGAATGTTCCTCGGAACTATGTGATGATTGATGACATCAGTGAGCTGACCAAGGACAGCACCCCTACTGTGCCTGATAGCCAGCGTCTAGAGTCCTTGGGACCAGGCAGCAGTGGGCGTCCTGGGAAGGAGCCTGGAGAACCAGGTGTCCTTGAGGGGCCCACACTGCCCTGCTGCTATGCCAGAGGAGAGGAATCTGAGGAGGACTCATACGATTCCCGTGGGAAGGCTGGCCATCACCACAGAACCATGGAGAGCAATGGACGACCCGCCAGCACCCACTACTACAGTGACAGCGGCTACAAGCACGGGGCTCGAGTAGAAAAGTATGGTCCAGGGCCTGTGGGGCCCAAGCATCCCTCCAAGAGTCTAGCCCCAGCTGCTATATCCTCAAAACGAAGCAAACACCGGAAACAGGGGATGGAACAAAAAATCTCCAAGTTCTCACCTATTGAAGAGGCCAAAGATGTGGAGTCGGACCTGGCCTCTTACCCCTCAACTGCTGTCATTAGCAGCCCGGCCTCTAGGGGCAGGAAGTTCCAGGATGAAATCACCTATGGGCTCAAGAAGAATGTATATGAGCAGCAGAGATACTACGGGGTGTCCACCCGGGACATAGCAGAGGAAGATGACCGCATGTATGGGGGGAGCAGCCGGTCTCGGGTAGCATCTGCGTACAGTGGGGAAAAGCTGTCCAGCCATGATTTCAGTGGCCGAGGCAAGGGGTATGAACGGGAAAGGGAGGCTGTGGACCGACTTCAGAAAGCAGGCCCCAAGCCCTCATCCCTGAGCATGGTCCACGGCCGGGCACGGCCCCCCATGCGGAGCCAGGCCTCTGAGGAAGAGAGCCCCGTCAGCCCCTTGGGGCGGCCCCGCCCCACTGGGGGCACACTGCCTCCTGGGGATACCTGCTCACAGTTCTGCTCCAGCCACTCCATGCCTGATGTCCAGGAGCATGTCAAGGAGGGACCACGGGCCCACTCGTATAAGCGTGAGGAGGGCTACATCCTGGATGATTCCCACTGCGTGGTATCTGACAGTGAAGGTAATGGCCACTGGGGGTGATTTCTGCAGATGCTCAGCACCTGGGGGGCCTGCCTACCTGTGGGCCCCAGGCCCCAAATGTCCCACCAGGGTTGGTCTGACATCTCATCCACTGGCCCCTGCTGCAGGCTGTCCTTGCTTGTTCCACATGTGCCCTGGTGGCTGGTTGAGGGAGGGTGGGCTGGGACCCAGTGATCTGCTTGTGGCTGTGGTGCCCACTCTGGTCTCTTTGCATGGCTTCAGCTAGGCCTCCCCCTGTGGCCACCCCAGGGGTTGATGGTGTTCTGTTTTTGGTCCCTGAAGCGTATCACCTGGGCCAGGAGGAGACGGACTGGTTTGATAAGCCCCGGGATGCCCGCTCTGACCGGTTCAGGCACCATGGGGGCCATGCAGTCTCCTCCTCCTCCCAGAAGCGAGGCCCTGCCAGGCACAGCTACCACGACTACGATGAACCTCCTGAGGAGGGCCTGTGGCCTCATGATGAGGGTGGTCCAGGCCGCCATGGCCCAGCCAAGGAACATCGGCACCACAGTGAGCATGGGCGGCACACAGGCCGCCATGCTGGTGAGGAGCCAGGACGGCGCACTGCCAAATCACATGCCCGGGACCTGGGTCGCTATGAGGCTCGGCCCCACCCTCAGCCCAGCCTCACCCCAGCCATGCTGAAAAAGGGTCAGCCTGGGTACCCTGGCCCAACTGATTACTCCCAGCCATGTCGTGGTCCAGTGGCATACCACCATGCCTCTGACAGCAAGAAGGGCTCCCGGCAGGCCCACTCTGGGCCTGCTGCACTGCAGCCAAAGCCAGAACCCCAGGCACCACCACAGCTACAAGGTCGGCAGGCAGCTCCAGGGCCACAGCAGTCACAGCCACCAACATCCAGGCAGATGCCCTCAGGGGCAGCATTACGCCAGCCACAAATGCAGCAGCAGCAACAGCAGCCAGGTCTTGGGCAGCACCCTCCCCAGCAGGCCTCATCACAGGCCCGGCCACAGCAGAGCCAGCCAACTGCCCGGGGCCCAGCCTCTTCTGCCAGCCAGCTAGCAGGGAAGCCCCATCCAGGTTCCACGACAGCCCCAGGCCCCCAGCCAGCAGGATCGGTAAGCAGGGTCTCACCCAGGGCAGATGCTACAGCTGAAACTTGGAAATCCCTTTGGATCCAAGCTGGGTGTGGGCAGGGTTGGTGGGCAAGATCTCAGCTCTAGGTTCTGTGTTGCAGCCACGGGCAGAACAGGCAGATGGCTCTAAAGTGGCAGCCAAAACACCCCAACAGGGGAGGGCTTCCCAGGCCCAGCCAACACCAGGACCTGGCCCTGCAGGTGAGCCTTCTCTTTGGTGCCCTCCACTATGTCCCAAGTACCCAAACTGTTCTCTCCCTATAATCACCTGAGCTGCCCCACTGCACACCCCCTAATCCCCAAGAAGGTGCCCAGTAGGCTGCTGACCTCCCAGCAAAAGATGATCCTGGGGTTAGAATGAGCCAGTGGTGTCACCTGCACTGGGGCCTTAGAGAACAGAAAGCACTGGTGAGCACAAGGCCTATTCCTTCCTCTTCTGTCCTTTCCTCTGCCTTTTTTTTTTTGGTGCTGGGGATCGAACTCAGGACCTTGCATTTGCGAGGCAGGCAGCAGCACCACTGAGCTAAATCCCCAGCCCCAAGATTATTTGCGAATTTTTTTTATGGTACCAGGGATCAAACTCGGGACCTTGCACTTGCCAGGCAGGTGGAAGAACCACTGAGCTAAATCCCCCGCCCTTCCTCCCTTTCTTCTTCATTACCTTCCTCAACCTCCTTTTTTCTGCTTCCTTCCACCCCTTCTCTTCCTGTTATCTTCCTATCTTTACTCCTCTACCCTTTTGCTCACCCTCCTACCTCACAGGGTACCTGTGTTCAGGTCCCTCATGGCTCCTTTCCCACCCAGACCCTGAACAGCCAGGCCAAGGCACACTCATGATGAAGGCTTCTATTTCCATAGGCACAAAGCCTGGAGCCAGGCCTGGAGGAACCCCAGGGGCTACTCCTGGCCAGCCAGGAGCTGATGGGGAGAGTGTGCTCTCCAAGATCCTCACTGGTGGGGCAGCAGAACAAGCCGGCAAGCTGACAGAAGGTATGTACTGCCTGTGGCCAATTCTGTGGTAGGTGGCCACCCCAGGGCTCTACACTGGTGGAGGCTGGGTCTAGGCCCAGTGGTCTAGGTACATGTCAGCAAGAGGACCCACCTGCTGCTGCCCAGTAGTCTTTGGGGCAGTCCTTGCCCCTTGGGCCAAGACTGTCTTACTGAGCCAAATGCCCCAATTTCCTGATGCTTCTTCCCTCTTTCTATTTCTTAGCTGTCTCTGCTTTTGGCAAAAAATTCTCCTCGTTCTGGTGACCTTGCCCAGCAGGGTGAGTATGAATGACTTGTACCCAACTTGTACTGAAGAAGGTCTGAGTTATTTGGAGGAGGGGGTGGGTCCACTGGGAAGAGTCTAATCTTCCATGGGTAGTGTGGAAGCTCTATTGTGCTCTCCTGGAATTTGTGTGTACGATGGTGGTGGTGGTGGTGGGTGTTCTGTTCACAGAACCCCTGAGCTGTTAAGCAGAGGTCTCCAGCAAAGAGAAGCCAAAGAGAATCTCCTCTTGTCTGCCTCACCATCCCCTGTCTGCCTGCAGAGTTCTCACAGCTATGGGTTGGTGTTGGGCTGTAGGTGGGGACCCTGATGGAGCCCCTTTCCAACCCTTCCCTGAAAATGCCCCACAGACTCTTGAAGACATGAAGAGAGATGATGTCATTGCTGTGGAAAAATCTCTGGAGTCAAAGGCCTGGGTGCAGCTCTGGACTCTGCGTATAACAGTGAGTCTAAGGACTAGAGTAGGATGGGCCACAGGAGGACATGAAAGGCCACAGCCACTCAATCTCTTCAAGTGTGAGATAGGAAGATCCTGGGGAATGGGCCCAGCAGTCACCTGGGAGACAGGGGCCAGTGTGCTGGCTGACAAGACAGGTGGTACCTTGGGGAAGGATCTAGTGATGCCAAATGCATCCAAGTATTTGAGGTCTATATGTTAGGCACTGAATCCAAAGTCATCCTTGAGGATAGGATAGCCTGTGGTTCCTGAGGGGGACACATCCCACTGGCTAGGGTGTGCTAGAGTCCCTCAGCCCTCCAGAGCTTAGCATCTTTGGGCATGAAGTCAGGACACTGTTGTCTTCACAGGATAAACTTGTGGTCCACAGGATAAAAAAGTAGAATGAGTATGGAGGCAGACAGGAGGGGGACGTAGAGGCAAGGGGGAACCCTAGCCAGGCAGTCTCAGCCATAGACTAGGTCAGAGTAGAAGGGCCTCAAGATGGGAGCCCTGGCTCTGTCTGGCTGCTGTGCCAAAGCAGGATGGGATACTGGCTCCTGGAACCTGCCCTGGCCATGACCTGAGCCATGCCTCTGCAGAGGACAGAGCAGGTGGATCATCCAGCATTAGGGGAGTGTGGCCAGGCTGCTGGTGCTTTTCTTTGCATGGCCAAAGACCACCTCCCACCATTCCATATCCCTGAGCCCTTCCCCTTCCTTTGGCACTCCAAGGCTAAGAATGTGGAGGCTCTGTACAGTATCCATGGCAGGGCCTGACAGTCAGCAAGCAGGTCATTTCAAGGGATCCCAGCAAGTGCCCTAGCTTAGGCTGGCCTTCTCATAGCAGAGAAGGAACTAGGTATGATGGCCAAAGGCTTTCTGTCTCTAGAGGAGCAGCAGGTAGGGCTGGAAAAGCTATCTTCCACCCATGTGATCAACTAATATTTGTCAAGCCCTAAGTATGTGCCAAGCTGTTTCAGCCACTGGGAATACAGCAGGAAACAAAACCAAGATCCTGCCCTCTGAAGCTGACAATCCTTTAAGGGAGATGGAGAATAAATAAGTTTAAAAATAAAAATTAAATTTCAGGGTAATTTCTGAAGGTAGTAAGTTAGCAGTACGAAGCCAGTGAAATGGGTGATCGGAGAAGTGGGGTCTGATCTAGAGAAAGGGGTGAGAACTGAAGGTGTGTGGGACAAGGCCTAGAGGTAGAGAAAAAGCCACCGTGGGATCTGCCCAGGTGAAGGTACAGTGCCAGAAGAAGTTCTGGGGCAGAGTGAGCCTGGCAGGCTTTGGGGACAGGCAGATCAGCAGTGAGAGCTATGGCAGAGGGGAGGCAGACAGGGGTAAAGTCCAAGGGGCAGGAGCTAGCTGGTGTGGGCTTTGTAGACCAAGGGAAGGAGCACAGAACTTATTCTAATTATAGTGGCCACAGTCCAGCCCCCAGCATCCTGCTGCCTTGACTGCACTGTAGGCTCTCTGCAGCTTTTCTGCTCAGTGGGGTGTCTCCTTGGAGTTCCCCTAGAACAGATGTGGAGTCAGATTGATGCTGAGGAGAGGGAAGGAAAGACAACCCATGGCCCAGGTTGGCAGCACCCACCTCGGGTTTGAGGTCAAGGAACTATGGGGGAAAGGCAGAGCAGATATGACTGTTCTATGTTCTGTCACACAGTTCGGGGCCACTGAGACCATGGTCTTTGTAGTTAAAGGAGCCCCTGTCAAGTTCTAGCAGTTGGATAATGTCAAAGCTGCTGTGCAGGTCCATCTCCTAGGGTTTTGATGTCAGTTTCAGAGATGGGTTAGGAGAAGCTCACCATTTGAAACAAAATCCCATCTCCTCACTCTTAAGCAAAAATAACAGGAACTTTTAGTCAAATGTGGTGGCACATGCCTATAGTCCTAGAACTTGGGAGGCTGAGGGAGAAGGTCTGATCTAGACAAAGAAATCTAGAGAACTCAAGACCAGCCTGAGCTACATAGCAAGACCCTGTCTCAAAAAAAAAAAAAAAAAGAGGAACTTTTATAACATTAAAAGAAATGTCAAGCCAGGCGCAGGGGAGAAGGCCTATAGTCCTAACCACTCTAGTGTATGTGCTGCCAAAGCGAGCAAAGTTCTAGCTACTCTAGAGGCAGAGGTGATAGCATCTTTCCAGCCAGGAGTTTGGGGCCAGCCTAGACAACAAAGCAGGACCCTGTCTCAAAAGAAAAAAAAAAATACAAGGGCTAATCAAAAAGTACAGTGTGTGTTTAAATTTTTAAAAATTATTACAGTAAAAGACACATTGCCATTAATTCCCCTCAAAGTACTTTCCCTCTCTTCACACTTATTTCATCATTGTTGCTACTTTCTTTTTTTTTCTCTCATTTCCGTTTTTTTTTTTTTTTTTTTTTTTGGTACCGGGGATTGAACTCAGGACCTTGTGCTTGCGAAGCAGGCAGCAGAACCACTGAGCTAAAGCCCCAGCCCTCATTTCTGGTTTTTTGAGACAGTCTTGCTATGTCGTTCAGGCTGACCTTGAACTCAGTTATGTAGTTCAGGCTGGCTGAAAACTCACAGCAATCCTCCTGCTTCAGCCTCCCAAGTGCTGGGATTACAGGCATGTGCCATCACACCCAGCAGTTGCCACTTTCTGAAGTAGCTCTGGAAGTTCTCTTTTGTGAGTGTCTGTATGAGGTGTGATCAAAAATATGGTGAATGCTGCTCTCTACTGGCATTCAACAGAAAGGCAGGCTCGTAAAAACATTATGGTATATCCTCATCCACCTTGTTCACCAGATTTGGCACTGTTTGATTTCTGGCTTTTCCCCAGAATCAAAATGACCATGAAGGATTAAATGCTTTGAACTGATTCAGGACATAGAGGCAGCCATAACAGCACAACTCATTCATAAAAAAGGACATCCAGAAACGCTTCAGAAAATGGCAAGAAAATTGACATAAATGTATTTGAAGCATGGGGGAGTATTCTGAGGGGGAATTAATAACAATATGTCTTTTACTGTAACTATTTTTATAATTTAAACATTCACTCTATTTTGTGATTGTACCTTGTATATCCTTTCCTGGCAGACTGAATTCTTTTTTCCTCTCTTCTGTGTGACCTTCAACCTGCCCAAATGCCCATCTTCTGACATCTCAGTGGTGCTAGGCCCTTGGTCTATGGCCAGTGTCTGAGAGGAATGTGAGGGTGGGAAGCAGCTGCCTACAGTTCTTGACCAAACCTTTCTTTCTTTTCTTTGTCTCTCCCTCCCTTTTTTCCCTCTCCCTATTTTTCTTTTCCAAGCGTCTACAATCTGGCAAACTCTTGGCCCAAAGCTGGACAAGTTGGGACCATGGGCCTGGGGGATTTTGTCTTTCCAGAGACCTTGTCTTCCTCAGTCAACTGTCGTGGGGAGGGAAGACCCCTCTCCAGAACCCTGAGACCGCAGCTGTCTGCCACTCTTCCCACAGCCAGCCAGGCTTCCAGTGCGTTATACACAGAGTTTGGGAGTACACTGCCCTCCTTCCAAGATGCCAGAAGTTTTTCCACAGCCTTGGAGAGGGGTCTTTGATTGGGCGCCTTGCGCTCGTTTCCTTCACATTCCAGCTGGCTTGGATCCCTCTGTAGCCACAGGGCCCTGCCCCTTCACCTTGTCCTCTGGGTGACAGCGGAGCAGACCTCCACGTGGCCAGCACAGGGTTGGGAGAACTTTACAAACATTAGGACCTAACACTGTCTCATTGCTGAAATAAGAGGCCATAGCACCGAAAAGCAGTGTGGGCACTGGCTGAGGCTTCTCCCAGCCCAAGGGTGGCAGTGTGCCTTCTACACACCTGCCATCATCTTAAAGCCATCCCCCAGCCATCTCCAGCACCCCAGCAGCACCGCCATTGTCTCAACCAGCTGGCTCCTCATCTGTACACCTGGGGATTTCTTTTCATTTCAAGAACAGCCTTAATCATTCCAGTTTGGTTTATGTGTATACCTCATGAACATTTTTCTTTCTCTTTCCCTTTCTCATTTTTCTTTGCTCATCCCTTTTGCCTCTCCCCTCCACTACCACCTTGTGACTGATGGTTTGGTTTCCTCTTTGCTCTGCCCCTGCTCAGCACAGGGAGAATGTTGACTAAGAAGCAATAGGGGGCAACAGGCCACCAAGAGCACAACCCGAGGGCGAGGCCTAGGGAGGCCCTTCAGCCCGCCTCTGTTTACTGTGCAATTCCAGTCCTTCTTAAGCCATCACCAGTGGGTGTGCTCAGAGCAGAGAGGCCAAGGCTTCTGCCAGCTGGGGGAAAGGCCCAGAGCCCCATGTAGGGCAATGTGGCACCATCTGTCTACCTGGTGGACTGGGCAGCATTCCTCCCTAAGGCCCTTACCTGGGGGAGCCTCCCTTCATCTTAGGCACAGCCACAAGTCTCATCTTTAACGTTCTATGCAATGAAATATAAACCCTCAAAGACAACTGTTAATATTTAATAAATTCCATGTTATGTATAAGGAGTTAATTGCAAACATGTGATTGAGAAACTGGATAGATATGCTCATATCACCACCCCCAACCCCTGCTCCCACCATCTGTGTGTGTGAAATTCTGTCTGTGGCATGTTTGACCTGTGGCAGGACTCGCTGCTGCCAGGTGAGTCACCGCCTGTCCCGCAGTGGAGCATGCACAGCTCGCAGCCTCTTTGCACGATTTTATCCATTTTAAATGCTCGACCCTCTTGCTTGGAGTTCTTTTGCCTCTGAACCTCTCCTTCAGGAACACTTCTAGTGACTTCTGCACAAGCTAGTGAGGACCTGCCAGAATTGTTGCCCAAGTATGCCAGGCTGCGAGGCAGGCAGGACAAGAACCCACATGTCCTGCAGTTTCCTCCTGTTCAAGATAAAAGGTAAAACAGGAAACCCTGATGTAGACACAATGGTAGGAGCCTGCATAGGATGCATGTGTATGAAAGTTCTGAAGGTTTGCTGTATGATTTATATCTGTACACCATTTCCCCCTCCTACTCCAGCCCTCAGCCAGAGGCATCTGGGTATTCCTTCCCAGTGGGACCCTGCTTAAGACAGAGCTGGACTGCATCCTTGACCAGAGAGGCAGAGGCCAAAGGCAGAGCCAGGCTGTGTCCTAGGCACCCCAGGTCCTGACTAAACCTGATTCATGCTTCTCCTTTGTGGTAAAAAGGCACTTGGGAAGAGCTGGATTTGTGGTGCTTGTCTTTGACTGACAGTGTCATCTGGAGCAGGTAAACTGTTCACATAAACAGTGGCTTTAAGCTGAGCTTCTTGGGAAGCTTCTCAATAGCAGAACTTACTCAGGTTCTGTGTGACTCTTTCATCATCCATCCCTGGGACTTCCCTACCCAAGTACCTACTGTCATCAGCTTCTCCACTGTGGGGCCAGGAGAGGCTCTGACAGTAGCTGCCTAACCCTCAAGGCCTGACCTTCCTCCAGAGTGCTCTGGTTTGCACCATGCATTTCTCAGGGGTCCACATTTCTCATGCTTTTCTATAAGGCCTATACACCCCTTAAGAAAGGGATCCTGGACACCTCTGGCAGCTCTAGATAAGACAGGAAGTTTCCAACCTCCTTGTTGGACCTGGTGTCCTGGGATTTGGCCTCCCCTATTCCATCAGACAAATGCCTCATCTCTAGATAGAGATCAGGCCTAGGGTGTATGAGGCCTTCTGAGCAAGGGCTGAGGGAGGCCATCATCTAGTTTCCCTACCTACCCAAGGTCTGTGTGGGATGGCCTGAATGAATATTTGCTTTGGTGTCACTAATGGTGGCCAGGGGATGGGACTTGGAGTAGAATGTAGGCAGGGAGATGCCAGCAGGTCAGCCTCTAGCAGGCTGCATGTCAGGCTTTCAAGTATTGACTTTTCAGCAGATTTCCTTTTTGGCCAAACCTTCTGAGTTTAAAACTTCTGACAATTGATCCTCGATACGAAAAAAAAAACCCCAAAACAAAAAATTTCTGACATCTGCCACTCCCCATCCCTCACCGAACCCACAGGACAAATCATTGCTCTATGAAGAAACTGAAGGCTGCAGCAGCCCTCTGGATCATGGCAGTCCTGGCCCTTATGTGGATGCAGCTGTGCCTCTAGGGGCAATGCAGCCAGAGGCTGAGGGACTAGCGTTTGGTGCTTGGGAAGTGGAGAGCAATATGCACTTTCCTAATGGACTAGAGGTCTCCAGGATGCAGTCCAGGCCTTCTCTAGTTCTCCCTCCAAGTGTCATGAACAAGGGCACTCTCTCTTTTGTCCACTGGAGGGCCCATGCACTCATTTAATAGTGACAGCCCTTCCCCCACTACCATTCTCTCAGGCCTTGGACAGAGCATGTGATCTCAGGGCCCGCAGTGAAAGAGCAGAAGTGGCAGCAACTCTGGCCTGTCCCCTGGAACCTGTAGGGAGTTTTCCAGGACAGTGCAATCTCACCCTATTGGACCCTCCCCTCCTCCCTTCCCCTACCCATGCTGTAAATACTGGTTGTCATGGACTCAGACAAAGTCAAAGGAACAGGCCTAATCAACTTAAACTCCTTGGAGATGCCATCTGTCTCCCTAGATGTCAGTGCCCTGCTGCCATGTGCACTGAGGTAGTACTAGAGAGCCATGGAAGTCATGAGATATCATGTGGATGCATGTAAATGTGTGTGTGTGTGTGTGTGTGTGTGTGTGTGTGTGTGTGTCTGCCTCATTTAGCCTCTGGGGTCAAATCAGCTCCTTCTCCAAGTAGCCTGGAGAGTGGTGGCCACAAACACCTTTTCCTCTAGCATCCCTGTCTTGTTTTTGCTTTTCCTTCTTCCCTCTTCCCTCTCTCCCTTTCTTTTCTTTTTTCCTTCTCTCCTTCTTTATTTGAGGGGGGAAAGAGTGCTGTACAGTCAAACAAGTTTACAGTTGTAAGTGCAATGACGAGTCCTCCACATGACCTTGTGAATTGTGTGCTGTCCTTCCGTGCTCTGTGAGAACTCGTGGTACTTCAGTGTCCCTCCCCTCCTGTATTGTGACAAGGTAATTCTGTGGTATCAGAATAAAAAGACTTGATATAAACAACCTATTCACTGTCTCTGGGATGGTTTCTAAGTGGGAAGGTTTAGCCAAAGAAATAACTCCCCAAATTTGTGACTATTCCGTCCAGTTAAAGGGAAAAGAATGAAGGGGCAACATTTGAGAAGTGCTGGGATGACAGGCTGAGTCCACACCAAGCCACACAGTGGACCCTCCACAAAGGTGCCCAAGTATAGGTCCTATTCACTGCACCAGCTGTGGGGAAACAATGGGGGTCCAGGGCTGCCCCCACAACTTTCTGGGGCCTGGATCCCAGGAGGAAAGTGAGCAGGTGCTGCCCCCTGGTGCTGCCAACAAGCCTTTACCTGCCTACTCCACCCAGAGCTCAGGATGGGTGTCATACTTTAGTACTTCCCCAGATGGACAAGAGTACCCCAGAGTCACTAAAGAATCTGAAAACAAAAATTAAAAGAACAACAGTTTTGCCTCAAGTAAACTCTCAAAGGCAAGGCAGGGTGAAAGGAGCCCCTAGGGCTCTGAGGTGTGAAAGACCAGCCAGGCTTATGGTATATAAAGAGGACATCACTACTGGTGTGGCAGCTACCTCAGACTCCCGTTCTGTGTCACGTGCAGAGAGAGGGAATACGCCTACCCAGGTTCTTTGGTCCGGGGCTGGGTGGAGCCTGACCCCACTAGACCTCTGCACTCAAGAGCTTGAGCTGAGGCCTGGGAAGGAAGGTAGAAGCCCAATCTGCTCACAGTTTCCACAAGGCGCCCTTGAGAAAGATAGATGAGGGCCGCGGGAACTGATGGCTCTTGGGACAGGACTGGTGACCGATAAGGCCAGGCAGCGCCCGGACAGCGCACCGCCTGCCCCTCTGCTCGATGCATCCCAAGGCTCTGCTCCGCCGTTCCATCAGAACCTGACTGCCTTCAGTAATGTCTACCTAGGAGTCCCTCCGAGTGGGGCCTGATGCCTTCTGGGGAAGGTAGACAGGAAGGACCCCAAGGCCGCAGAGTCGCGAAGGCTGACGCGGACGCGGGCAGAGGCTCTGGCCCCGCCCAGAATCCTCTGGACCCCAGAGCCCCGCCCCGCACTCGGAAAGCTGTGGGTCCCCTGTTCCTGCGCCTCGTAGCTTTCGCTTCTCGCGGGGTCGGGACTCAGGCCCCGCCCCCTCTCCACAGACCCTAGCTTCTCACAGACTCCGCCCCTCCTTGAACGCTGCCTCCCGCCTTCTGCTCTAACAGGCGGAGTTTCCATTCCTCCCGTCTCAGAGACAGGTTCAGGACCTGCCTCATTCGCCTGGTCCGCTCCTAAAAGCTCTGCTCCTTTCCTCGAGGTGCTTGCCCCTACAACTTCTCTTCAGGGAGGCTACTCCCCTACAGTGCCATCCCGACACAGTGGCTGGAGGCCCCACCCTCAGGTCCTGGCCGGGACTGTAACGGAAATGGGCCGGCCGCTCCAGGTTCCGCCCCCAAAGCTTCACTTCCGGGTCTAGCGTGCCCTGTTTCGCCTTTGCTGCTAACTGGGACTATGGAGCGTCAGGTGAGGGTTCGGCTCGTGGCCCCCGTGGTCCTCGAAGCCCGGGCCGGGCCTGACCCTGGTGTGTCCCCTGCGCAGGTGCTACTGAGAGAGCCCGAAGAGGCAGCGGCCTTGTACCGGGGCCTTAGCCGCCAACCCGCGCTGAGTGCCGCCTGTCTAGGCCCAGAAGTCACCACGCAGTATGGGGGCCGGTACCGGACCGTGCACACCGGTGTGTGGGCGGAGGGGCTAGGTGGCGACGGGGCTATGTGCTAGCAGAGAGCACACAAGTGTTTGGAGGAGCCAGGGCTTGGCGAGTACAGCCCTCGCCCAGATCGAGGCCCAGAGACGTGGGGGACTGTGCAGGCTGTACTGGTCCTGACTGCATAGGTGTAGAGCTCAGACCTGAGTGTGGGGCTTGTATCCCAAACAAATTCCAGGCTGCCCTCGATTCCATCGTGGGTGTTGAGGGGCAGGGATGGGTTCTCCAAGCTCAAGAGGCCAGAATTTGGGTTGTAGTCAAGTGTTGTCCAGGCTTCCCCCAAGGTGTTTGAAGACAGATTGAAAATGATGGGTCAGGGCCTTCCTAGATGGGTTGGGGGGCACTGGCCCCAACTGGCCAAAACAAATTGAGCACCCTCATGCCTCCCCTTGCAGAATGGACCCAGCGGGACCTGGAAAGAATGGAGAACATTCGATTCTGCCGCCAGTACCTAGTGTTCCACGATGGAGACTCCGTGGTGTTTGCAGGGCCGGCAGGCAACAGTGTGGAGACCAGGGGGGAGTAAGTTTGAGGGAGGAAGCTTGTGAACAAGGCCACAGCCGTATGCCATGCCAGTCCTTTATGAATGCACATTATGTGCCTAGATGTGGGTAGGGCCCTGAGAGTGGCCAGGAGCCAGGTTCCTGCCCCTTAGGAGCTCATTTGGTTTGTAGTGACATGACCTGATAAGCACTAGAGGCTTGTTTCAAACTCAAACCCAGCTGTAGAGGCCTGAGGAGCTGGGGAAAGCAGAATCTCTGCCTCAGGGAAGAGCAGCAAGGCCAACTGCCATTGTGGGGTTGAAGGTGCTACAGGTTACAGGTGCTACCAGAGACTCAAAAAATCTAGCTGGGGGGGGGGTGCTGGGGTTTTAGCTCAGTGGTTCGGGCACCTGCCTCGCAAGCACAAGGTCCCAAGTTCGATCCCCAGTACCAAAAAAAAAAAATCTAACTGGGTGTGGTGTGATGGTACACACCTGTAATCCCAGCACTCAGGAGGTTGAGGCAGGAGAATCACTTTGAGTTTGAGACCAACCTGGACTACATAGTGAGTTCAAGCCAGCCTGAATTGCGTAGTGAAACCTGCCTCAAAAAAAAAACAAACAACAAACTATCTAAGGTTGTGGCCAGTGAGGGGGCAGCACAGGGCTGTTTGGGGCAGATGTAATCCTGACCTGCTATCACACATCCTCCTCAGACTGCTGAGCAAAGAGTCTCCTTCAGGCACCATGAAAGCTGTGCTGCGTAAGGCTGGAGGCTCAGGCCCTGGGGAGGAGAAGCAGTTCTTGGAGGTGAGTCTGCAAGGGACCAGGTGGTGGGCATCAGAGAAATCAGCCCCGAAGATAAGGCTCTGTTGGAGGCCACACAGACTGATGCCCCAGTATCCTCAGGTCTGGGAGAAGAACTGGAAACTCAAGAGCTTCAACCTGTCAGCGCTGGAGAAGCATGGGCCTGTTTATGAGGATGGTGAGGCATCTGGCTGGTGAGTAGGCAGGGTGGACAGGAGGGGCAGTCATAGCCCTAGTCTCCCCCTAATTAGCCCTCCCCCTACCAGACTGCTTTGGCTGCCTGTCCTGGTCACACTCGGAGACACACTTGTTATATGTGGCAGAGAAGAAGCGCCCCAAGGCTGAGTCGTTTTTTCAGACCAAAGCCTTGGACATTAGTGCCAGCGATGATGAGATGGCCAGGCCGAAGAAGCCAGACCAGGCCGTCAAGGTGCTTGTGGTGTGGCTAATCCATGAAGGCCTGGGGCATCCCTGGAGCTCAGTGTGCTCCCTCCCATGCTGTACCTGTCAAAATTGGGGAGGCACTGGCTTGTAGGAAGCAGGGCAAGGGCTGGTAGAGAGGCTGGGCATTGAGTATCCTGTGTTCTCAGGGGGATCAGTTTGTGTTTTACGAGGACTGGGGAGAAAGCATGGTTTCTAAAAGCATCCCTGTGCTCTGTGTGCTGGATGTCGAGAGTGGCAACATCTCTGTGCTCGAGGGAGTTCCTGAGAATGTGTCCCCTGGACAGGTCAGTAATAACTCAGTTTATGTCCTATCTGGAGTCTGCTGGCATTGCTTGAGCTACTGCCCCTTACTCACCTGCTCTGCCCTGCCCTGTGATCATGTTTACAGGCTTTCTGGGCCCCTGGAGACACGGGTGTGGTGTTTGTGGGCTGGTGGCATGAGCCCTTCCGTCTAGGCATCCGCTTCTGCACTAATCGAAGGTGAGGAAATGGGGCAGGTAAGGGGGTCCTGGAGCCCAGCTGGCCTTGAAACTGAGTGTTTCTTGGGCCATTCCAGGTCAGCTCTGTACTATGTGGACCTCATTGGAGGGAAGTGTGGTAAGTGGCTGGTGCCCACCTTTGCTTTATGAATACACATTGGCCCTTGCCAGTTTGTGTGATGCTCACATTTCTGTGTGGCCCAGAACTCCTCTCAGATGACTCCCTGGCTATCTCTTCTCCGCGGCTGAGCCCAGACCAGTGTCGCATCATCTACCTGCAGTACCCGTCACTGGTCCCTCACCATCAGTGTAGTCAGCTATGCCTGGTGAGCTGAAGGTTTAGGGTGGGAGGTGGTCAGCAAGAAGAGGGGATGGTGGGTGACAGCTGAAGGGCCAGCATCATCTCCCCATGGTCTCCTCCACAGATACCCTCCTTGTCCCAGGTGCAGCAACAGTATGAATTCTGCCTATGCTCTCAAGGCAAGGTTGGAGGCTAAGAATGCTGGCAGAGAGGGCTTTGCCCTGTTGGATTTGCCATCTTCAGAGCACTCTCCGTCTATAAGAATTTCCTCTCCTTGATCCTCATCTACACATAGCAGGGCTCTGCAAGGGGCCAGAATGTGGTGGGAAGTTACACAGTCTCAGTCCCCACCCATGAAGCACTGAGCGCCTGTGAAAGACAGGGGTACATGCCCAAATAAGGCCTCTCTGGGCACCTGGTCTAGGTCACTAGAAAGGAGATACATCAGGCTCATCTCACCTTTCCTGCTTCTCTCCTGAGGGTAACCTGAAGGTGTATATCTGAAAGGGACAGATGCAGAGCTCCATGCCTGGAGGGCATTGCTTGTCCCCCTGTAGGTCTGACCATTTTGTTCTCTTGCAGTATGACTGGTATACCAAGGTTACCTCTGTGGTGGTGGACATTGTGCCTCGGCAGTTGGGAGGTAAGGGTGCCTGGCTGGGGGAATCAGTGGTACCCACAGCTCTGAATTCCTGCTGTGTGTTCCATCCCTTCCCAACTCTTGTTCCCTGGATTCCTTTGGAAGACCTTCTG